GTAGGGGAGGGGGGCGGGCGGAGGCTGCCGCAAGCACGCTGGAATAACGCAAGGTATTAAAGCAGGTCATGCATGGCTTTGGGAGGGGATGGAAGTCGGAAGCCGCATACAACTATGTCATCACGTGAGCCGATGTGCGCTAGCTGGAGGAGGCGGCGCGGGAGAGCGGCTCACACTGTACTCACAGTTGACGAAGAGCATCAGGCGCTTGCTGACGGGCGGGGGTACGCCGTTGGAGGCGATGCAGACGTACACGCCCATCTCGGACCGCGTCACCTTGTGCAGCACCAAGTCCTCCCCGACCACCGATGGTCCTGTGGAAAATCAATCGACAATTGAACCCTCTGACGATAAAATCACAAAAGATCTGCTCAAATAATGCAAGTTAAACGGCAGAATGTGTTGTTCGACTTTTGTCTTGAACTTGGCAAGTTATTGTACATGTTTCACAAAACTGTTGTCCCTAGTGGAAACCACTCACCGAACAGTGGCGTTGGGCGCTGGTGAAACCACGCAAGTTTGCTGGGCCTCCATGAAACCACGCAAATCAACTTTTCGGTAGTGTTTGACGGACATATACCGTTGGAAAGAGGGTGGTCACTCTCAGAATATATAGTATTTTTTTGTTTTGTTTTGAAAACTGGACTTTCGTGGTTTGATGGAGGCTTGGCAGACGTGCGTGGTTTCGCCGGCGGCAAATCGTCGTGTGGGTGTGGTTTTCACCAGCGACAAAGCGAAAACAAACACATCCCCGTTCTCCCCAAAACAAACGTCTTGATTTACTTCTCGACTTGGTGCCCGTGGAATCGTTCCGCACCACGATGTCGGCGCCGTCCTCGCGCTTCCAGACGATGCGGGGCGGTGGGTAGCCCCGCGCCCGGCACCGCAGCTTCAGGTTGCCGCCCTCGGGTGACATGGTGTCGCCGGAGGTCTCCTCGTAGATGATGTCCGGGGGGATCACCACCTCCAGGAAAGCCGTCTAGGAACGGAAAAAAAAATCATTCGGTAATGCATTTTTTTTACACTGACAAATCAAGTGTTCAATCAAGGTGTGCAGCTGCCAGTGGTGTATACACTGCTTGCAACAGTGTTGAACTCTTGCAAATGTCCAACTCACAGTTGCACACTTACACGCCCTGGACGAACACTTAATTGATCAGTAAGAGAAGGTATTTTAATTATACTACACTCAAAACCACTTAAATACACATTTAAAAAAAAAAAACATTTAAAACGCTGAATCTGAATACATGATTTGTGAACCCAAATTTCTGCCACTGCTCGTTTTCCACCTTTCCACCAGTATGCAACGTCTGAATGCTCTGTCCAGCGTGCATCACCCACCCTGTCTAACTTGCACCCTCATTATTACATTGATCACACTATTGACCGCTTGTACCTGGCTCTTCATCGGATCCGTGTTGACTTGGCACATGTAGGTCCCCTGGTCTTCACGCTGTACATTCTTGATGGTGAGTGTCCAGGTGTTGACGTCGTTGTGCTTGACGGACAGCCTGGCGTTGTTGGTGATGACGTGCTGATGGATGGCCAGAATGGCTTTGGTGTCCGACTTGATCCAAGCCACCTTCGTAAACGAGAGGAACGTCAGGGCCAACAGACGACTTAAAACACAAAAGCGTGACTCAGTGCCTTTGACAAACGGTGAGGCTTTAACTTCGTCAAAGAGACAAAACAAATAAATAAAGATTCTACACTAACGTCTCTTCCGAGTCTCTTTTGCAAAGGAAAGGCACCAAGTGTGTTCCTATAGCAACGAAACTGCACCGTGTGCGAGCGAATGCAACGAACTTATTAACAAAATAGCTGTACTTGGTCAGCACCTAGATCACACCTTGATACAAAACATATTAGTTTCTCTCTGAATTTATTCATGACACATTTGTTAAAGGTCTTTGAATTAATGTGCAGCAAAATTAACAGTGTATACATGTCGTAATAATATTTCGTTACATTTTTCGCAAACAGTGCTTATACTTGTTTGTGCCCCCTCCCCCCTCATATTAACTAAAGGTCTTTAAGCCTGTCCGCCTTGCTGTCCGCAGCCCCACCCGGCACCGTCCGAGTAGTCAGTGTCCAACGTGATACCCAGTGCGAAAACGGGATGTCAAGACAATGTTGAAACGGCAACGAAAAGACCAAAAAAAAAAAAAAAAAAA